TTGTGGATGTAGAGGCGTAGAGCAATGAAGTTCTTTGTGTCCACTCTCCCTTGTCGTGCATGTTGCTGTGCAGTGCAAGATTGCATCTGACCTTATGTTTAGTGCAAGTCTGCAAGACGTTCTGGCTCCAGGACTTTATGGCTTCTAAGTTTGATTTCTTTGTATTGCAATTAATCTTGTTCAATTGATATTAATGTACTTTAATTCGAATGTTTAGTGCAATTTAGTTTATTGTTTAATACAAATTAGTAGTGCTCAGTGCCCATCGTTGAGAATTCTTTAGATTCTTTGGAATTGTGCAAGAACCAGGAGCAATTCGAGCTCATTCGAGCTCGAGTACTCGACTCGATATCGAGCTCGAGGTACATGTAGAGCTCGATCGAGTCGAGTTCGAGCTCCATAGGCTTGTGTCGAGTCGATCTCGATCTTTTGTTTCTCGAGCTCGCTCGAGCTCGAGCTCGAGCTCGAGCTCTGATGGTCTGCGTCGAGCTCGAGCTCGAGTACACCACTACTCGAGCTCGACTCGACTCGATTTCACCCCTAGTCGTGTCTCATGTTCCACCCGTTGCCACAGGGCATGACTCCTAGTATCATAAGTACTTATTTGCTTTGATTGGTGACTCCTTTTCCTCCTCTTTCTTTTCATTTGTTTGTTGTCTTTCTTTCCCTATCATATTCAATTCACACTGACTGAGGAGGGACTTTCTTTTCTGCCACTGACCATTTGGTCTAGTGGTCATTCCCTTCTTTTGGGAACGCTGGAGGTCAGGGATTCGATCCCTGTCTCTCATAACTTGTCACTCTACGTGGTTGATCTTTGTCTCTGTGGGGTAGTTCGAGCGATCCGCTCCTCCTCCTTAAGGTATGGCGACCTTCATGACTTGTTCAGGGTTCGAGTCCCGCTGTTAATGTATTCGATGTGGAGTGGGGCCTTCTCTTCCGGATCACAGGAGATTAGTCAGGCCTCGTAAGAATTGACCCGAACACCCTTATATATATATAAAAAAAAAAAAGGAGGAACTTTCTAGTACGGCTACGTGCCCGTTGATTAATGTAACAATAGTAGGAGTAATATACAAATACGACACCGCCTAATAACACATTGGAATGCTTATTCATTTGCCAATTAACATAATCACAACAGAAAATAACACATTGGAGTTCCCGGATCACGTTTCATGCTCATGGTAGTTTGTCCTGAAGGGATTCGGTTAGAATTAATAAAATTGGTTGTCTCCCGGTTTCAGCTATTTATTGTTTTTACAAAATAAAAAAAGTCCCTCAAAAAAAAATAAAAAAGTTTTTAAACGAAAAAGCGGATGAGGTAATCTCTGACGCAAATGTTTCAATTATGTGGACCTCAGTAATTATGATGATGGGAGAATCCAAAAGATCTCTATTGCAAATTCTCTCCACATTCATCCTATCTGCCTCCGGTGGTGTGGTCACTCTACATTGGATTCGTCTCGAGTCTGGGGGGTTTTCAGCACCCCGTACCAATCCCGTCTTGAACCGCAGCATGACTCCTTGCTGCGCTGTAAACCGAGTGACAACTTGCCTACAAAATTCCAATCGCATTTGATAAGTGTGTTTTTTTTTTTTGGGTGTTTATCTAAAATTTTACAGTAATTTATTGAAAAATTATAAAAAATTTTTAGATATTTTGAAGTGTATAATTTAAAATTTTTGAAATTTTTTTTGAAATTAATGTAATTAAAGTTGTTAAAAAACTTATAGGAGACAAACTTGGCCAAAAACTTGATTGTCAAACAAAGCCTCCATTACTCGAATAAGTCCGGAGCGTTACCTTTCAACTCGAAAGTGAAGATGGAACTGGAATCTCCTTTATTCTCCAAATATCAAGTGAATTGTCTGTTTCTTTGTCAATCAAAGTGAAGTGCTATGGATAGTATCCAACAGCGCTGGATCAATTAGCTGAATTCCCAGCAAATAAAGAAACCCCGTATCCTTCTCATACCGACGAAATGCGTAATTTTCGAGGCAGCGTAGTGCTGCATTATCACTTTCAGCCAGCGATGATTGGCGTCTTCTGCAGCCACTGGCAACCAAAGGCCACCCGACTCAAAACACGAGAGGCCGCTTCAATTAAAATGCAATTTAAGTTCGTCATTAATGCCGTACCCAGAAGCAAATTACCCGACTATTGAATCAATCAGACATTTGATCAGCCCGAGTGTAATCGGGCCAGATGACTTCAACTCCAGTCTCGAGTTGGTAAATGCTAATTATATTAAATCCGTATAATACACATCCATGCTCATGTTAACCCCTACACTCGTCGAGACCAGAGAGCCACTGATCCTGGCACGAAGCTCACGCTGTAAGGTTAAATTACCGAGTGTAGATATTAAACCAAAGTCAAAAGTTCGGAAAACTCAAAAGAAACTGGTTGAGCAGCGCGCATTGATTTCGTTTTAGGCCACCAGCTTTTAAAAATTCCAAATCGTAATAATTACTCGTAATCCAATATGCCATTTTCTCTGGATGTTATATTTCAGTACATTAATTAATCATTATGGTCATCCAATAAAATGTAGCATTCATTATAGTTAATTTCGTGTTCAAGAGATAAGAGTTAGTACAATACTACTGTTATTTGCAAAGCCATTTCGTGGGGTTAAATTGTTCATAAATGAATAATTTCGAAGCTGTTTCTTTCTTTCTCATTTTCTTTGCCATCCATGCTTTTTCTCCTGCGTCAACGTAGAAGACCTTTTGCAAGGAAGATGATGCGATCATGTGCATCATCTGAACTGAAACCCGTAGGGGTGGGCAAAATTATCCGCTAACCCGAAAATCCGTCATATCCGATCCGATCCGATCCGATCCGAAAATTAGGATATCCGATTTTTATTATTTGATCGGGTTAAAAGATGGTCGGATATCCGCTAAGATACGGGGCGGGTTAGGGTCACATAATTAAAAACCCCCGGGTACCCGATCCGCCCCGCATATATATATTTTTTATTTTTATACACGACCTATAAAATAATAAGTTAGAACTAAATAAGTAATTTTATTGAACAAATTGCATTACAAATATGAGAGACTATAGTTTATTTACAAGATTCATTTGTAAAGGTCATGATCTTATATTTTATAGAAAAAAGTTTAATTAATGTAGAACATATATATTAAAAATTGTGCTACTTATTTCAAACTTTTATTGATTTTGAATTCTTTTAATTTTTTTCCTTTATCTTATATTCTCTTCATATGCTTGTTTCTTGGTGGGAAACCTTTTTTTAGAAAAAAAAATTATTAAATCTTAGATGAATGTGTAAAATATAAAATTAAATTGATATAAATCATTTTTTTTAAAAAATTAAATGATAAACGGGGCTGGGCGGGTATCCGCTGATCCGACCCTATCTCAGCGGGTACCCGTTAGGGTACCCGCTGATATGCTAGGCGGGTAAGGGTCAGAAAATGGCTGACCCGCAAGGTGCGGGTCGGGTCAGTCAAATGATGAATGGGGCGGGTACCCGGCCCGCGCCCACCCCTAGAAACCCGTACTTTGGTGAAATATCATTAGGAAATTAATACTTCAAGGCTGCTTTGATTATGTGCATTCTGCAAAACGCACCAGTTTTATCACTCATTCAGCCATATCCAATTACAATTTACAACTCCGTCTTACTAATATATTTACGTCTTAAGCGGCGTACGTTCTCCCTTGCACGTACATGTACACATGAGATGGCACATGCATTCACGTGAACAATTTAAAAGCGGGGAGGGTGAAGTGGCGACAGGCGGTGGTGGGCCGAGATGGGAGCGACCGCGGCGAAAATGAAAATGGTTAGAGAGGATGGTGGTAGAAAAGGAAAATGGGTGTATGTTTTTTAATATTTTGGATTGTGTTGTTTTGTTATAACTTTTAGGGTGTTTTAACAAGTTACTGTATCTAAAGTTGAAGAAAAACTGTCTGAAACAAGCAAAAAAGCATGGATGCCAAATAGCACTATTCTCTAGTGTTAAAGATTTTTTTGTCTCATCTTTTATCTCACTTCCCATCTCACCTTTCATTATATTATCATTTTTTCTTCACAAACATTCTATTTCAATTCTATTTTGTTTTCTTAAGTTCCAATAACTAACAACAGGGTAAACAACAAATTATAAAAGACTAAAAAAAATATAAAATGCCAGAGTAAAATAAAATTTTTATGAATTTTCTGTTGTATTTTTTGTTTTTTGGATCATATACCAGCAAAAATGCGTTGTACCATAAGGCCCATTACTGCAATACTTCATTCCATTTTGCTGCCAATGAAAAGTTGGGACATAGCCATTACGTTGACACCTTCCCCAGTGACAAGGTTGCCAGCTTTAGCCCCCACCACCGACGTTTGCGCACTGTTCGGGGCCTGCCTTTCTTCTTTTTCTAATTTATTTTTGTTGTTTTACTAGAACTTTTGGCTTCTGCAGCTGTGCTGGTGTATTGTGGCAGCTCATATGTAGGAGCCGCTCGACTTTCAAGCCACAAATAGACATTTTAAGCACTCTGTCGTCAGATGACTCATAAGAAAGCTCTACTTTGGAACCAATTAGAATTTAGAAATCAACACGCAAAACAGTTGACTTAAGATGATCAGCAGCAGCACAAGAAATAATCTTACAGCTCTCTACGTCAGTACCACGTGAAGGCAAATAAGGAAATGCTCAACAAATAATTTAAGTAGTTTTGTACCTTAGATCTTATTGGTAACACTGTGCATGAAATTTGAGTGCCATTGGGATACATTGTGTGTTTGTAAGCAGACGTATTGACTTTTCATAATGTTGCTTCTAAAATTTCAGGCAATGCAAGCCATTACATTTTATTCCAGCATTTGACTCCGTGTTTCCAACTTCCGCCCTTTTTTCATTTTTTTTTTTTTATGGAGGTGTGGAGTGGAGCGGAATTATACGTGCAAACTTCCACCCAAAGAATAGCATCTGACCTCTTAACTCAAAGGATCGCGCACAGTTCTATTCACGGTACAAGAATAACATAAAGGGAGATAATCAAAGTTACACTAACCTGACAGTTGGGGAAAATGTTCAAATCTGCAACATGGAGAAGTGAAAGGAAGATCAAAGCTGTCTTCAAAATGCAGTTTCAGGCAACACAGGTATGTTTTCAAGAAAGTGTAAACAGATTCTTCTACTTTTCTGTTTCTGTCACATCTTAGAGAAGAAGTTCTTGTTTGACTGTATTCTAAAAATCTCACCATCCTTGCTCAATTTTGATTAATGTTCTCAGGTGCCACGTCTAAAAGCAAAAACGCTGGCGATTTCTTTGGTTCCAGCTGATGTCGGAAGGCCAACAGTGAGATTAGGAAAATCTTCAATTCGTGAAGGAACCTGTTCATGGGAAAGTCCTGTATATGAGACTGTGAAATTAGTCAAAGAGACAAAAACAGGAAAATTCAGAGGAAAAATCTACCATTTCATTGTCTCAGCAGTAAGTAAATACAATTTTCTTTCTCTCTATTGGAAATCTTTCACGAATTACCCACATCCTTGCAGGGATCATCCAAAGCAGGTCTCCTGGGAGAAGCATCAATTGATTTTGTGGATTTCTTGGAAGCCACATATCCTGTAATGGTATCTCTACCCATTGAAGCGACAAATTCAGGTGCAATTTTGCATGTGAGTTCTCTCTCTCTCTCTCTCTCTCTCTCTCTCTCTCTCTCTGTGTTAACATGCCACAACTACCACTTTCAATCCCTGTTATGACGAGAGCCTGCGAAATCTGATGATATCAGCGCAATTCCCAGATCCCCCACCACAAACAAATCCATGCAAACATGACCGTAACACTAAGCTCATATACTATAGCACATACGAATTCCACGCAGCATTAAACATTGTGTCCATGACAGGTTACCATTCAGAAGCTGGAACGAACTCTTGATGAAAGGTATGCACATCATCTTGTCTTCCACTTGAAAATTTATTTATGAAGTCAGATTAGAGAGTGCTTCATCTTGGAAATGCAGATACATAGAGGAAAACGAAAGTCCAACGACCGATTATCACAATGGGATTTTGGAGATGCAACTTCTAGACTCTGAAAACTCACAGAAGACAAACCTTGAATTTACTGAAGTAAGGTCTCAAATACTCCACCCCATCTAAGGTCACATAGTGACAGAGAAACATATAAGAGTAGAGAAGTTAAAACTTCATAATCATCAAACTGGAAAGAAAGGAAAAGGTATCTTTTCCACAATGTCAAGATCATAAGAGCTTAGATAATTTGCACATCAACTATTTCATTACGATATGAGGTCACTTTGATTGAATAAATGTTGCTCTACATTGACATCAACTTTGATAAATAAAACCTACATAGTTGGGAATTCCTAATTTCGCTCAATCATGCTGAGGTCCAGTTTAAGAGTATAAGCAAAACCATTTGTTATCTAAAATTTTCAATTATTCCACAGGGGGAACAACCCAACAGAATAACATCTCAATACCCAGAGCAAAATGGCAGTGTTGAGGATACTCGATTTGATGATGCTAGTGCTTATCGGGTATGCTTGAATACTGCAGATAATTGGCCTGAAAAGTTCTCCTTGGATGCCGATCCCCCAGGACATGTGTACCAGAGATATTCAGATGGGTTATTCAAGGACACTTCAGATGAAAGTGTAATTGACACTACAACAAGTCTACAGGAGAAATATGCAAGAGACAGAATACAAGAAGGTTCTAACGATGTTGGAAGGCTGAACACTAGAATCAAAATGTTGGAAAGGCAGGGAGAAGTTTCAGAACTGGAATTACAATCCCTAAGAAGGCAAATGGCAAAGGAAAGCAGGAAGGTAAAGGAATTATCGGAACAAATTGTTGCCCTGAAAAAGGAAAGGGATATACTGAAAAAAGAATGTGAGCAGCTCAAGTCTTCACCAAAAGGCATAGATCAGGAGGAAATCTCAAACAACTCAGGCACGGAAACCAAAAATGTCAGTGAAATATCTGAACAAATCAAGCAACAACTACACCGTGAGAAGCATTTAAGTAAAAAGTTGAGGTCTCAGCTGCAGAAGACAGAAGACTCAAATTCAGAACTGATTCTTGCTGTAAGAGACCTAAAAGAGGTCTTAAGTAGAAAAGATAAGGAAATAGCTCATCTGGCAGGCCAAATACAGGCCAACCAAAATGAAGTAACATTAGAACTTGAAGAAACTAATGAAGAGCACAATAAAGCGGATGAAGTAGAACTCCTGAAACAGGAAAGAGCGAATCTATTTGTTGAAATGGAGATCTCCAGGAAAGAGAAAGAAGAACTAAAAAAGTGCATTCAACAGCTTACATTGGACTATGAGAATCTAAAGAAGGAAAAGGCGGCTGTTTACTCTGATTTGGACCAAAAACAGGGAGCAATGATGGAAATACAACACGAGTACTTGCTTTCCACGAGAACTGTGAAGCAACTCAAAGAAGAAACCAAAAACCAGGCAATACTGTACTCAGAATATTTGACTATAATAGATGAGCTCAAAACCAAAGTTCAACGTCTGGAGGAAGAACTTGAGAAGGAGGCAAAGTATTTTCAAGATAACTTGACAGCAGCTGGCAGGGCCATGGTTAAGCAGGAGCAAAGGGCCATACAAGCAGAGGAAGCATTAACAAAGGCTAACTGGAGTAATACCAAAGAAACAGAGCATCTTAGGGAAGAGCTCAAAAGAAAATCTGAAGAATTGATATCCAAGATCGATGAGAATGAGAAACTAACTGCGCAGGCAGTTGCCGAAGGCAACCAACTTCGTATGCACAGCAAATTTCTTGAGAAATTACTTCAGAAAGCGAATGATGAGATCCAACTAACCAAAAATGAATATGAAAGAAAACTCCTAGATCTTTCGAAAGGAATCCATCTGGAAGCACAAAGCATGGGGATGGTATCACAAAGAGTTGATGGTGCCAAAGCAAATGATGTGAAAGCAAACAATAGGGAGGATGGAGGGTTAAAACATGAGAAACCTGCACACTCTCAAGCAACATATGAGATAGGCACAATGATAAATGACAAGGAGCAAAGGAAGAGGGAATATGGTGACTCAAAGATGCTGCAGAAATGGACTGAAGAAAAAGAAGAGTTGGAAAGAGAACTTCTTCTGGTGAAGATGGAAGCTGAAAAGTTAATAGAGGAAAATATTACCTTGAGGAATCTGATTGATGAGAAGAGGCAAAGAGATGAGATCTTACATCCAGAGGTGGAAAAACTAGTAATTCGGTATGATAAATCGAAATGTTCTTCACAAGAAATGAAGTTGGAGAATAGGGACTTGAAGAAACACGTGTCCAAACTACAGGGAGACCCAAATAAGAAGAAGGTAAAGATTAGCACAAATAGAGAACTAAATAGGAGTAGATATGGACTTATTCAAATGTCTAAGCATGTACACAATGTGAATGAATCAACTAGGTCCATAATCAACTAAGACATCCTGGATTATGAAGACAATAATTGAGCGTGAACCATGACTTAATTAGTAGCCAAAAAGATGAAGACTGCACACATATGCATCATAAATAGGTACAATGAAGTTAAGAACCATAGCTATATAAAATTCCTTACCGCAAAGTACAGCACTAAGGCATCTGATATATAGGTTCACAACCACACAAGCACTGTTTAACATATTATACTTTATAGCTTATTTGATTAGGTTGCATTGTATTCCAACAAGTGGTTTGAATAACTAGCAGATAACAGGCTCTAACAACCCAAAATTGAGATTCTTACTATTTTATCCATTTACTGAAAGTAATTAGCATGTACCAAGTATTCACATTTTTTTGTATGTATTCTGGCCTTGTTTTACAACCAACATACAAAACTGCAATCTGCCAATTTTTAAATGGCAGAAATGATGTTGCTATATACACTGGAGAACAGCAGAATCAAAGTAAGGATGCATCTATTAGATCTATTCAAACAGATTATTATCTTGGTTACTTCACAACTATGCCAGAAGTATTTTTTGCTTTTGTTTATGTGTGGACATACCTGATGCTTATATGGAAACATGCAAATTGGTGAACATATAGATAAAAACACGTACACCCACACATACATACACCCATACACACACAGACACATATATGCACATAAATTCTAACTAGTAGCTAAAAATTTGCTGAAGTGAAGGTCATGAAAATGTTCCTTCAGGTTTAAAACCTGGATTAAGAACTGTAGTCCAGGGACTTCCAACAAAAGAGTTTTAAGTTATTTTAATAGTTTCCTATCAAAGAAGTAACCACTTTCTCAACGCAAGCATTGTCCAGGAAACTATTATCAATTGTTGGACAAGATTCTACCTGGGTAATCAATTGCAGTCACAATCCATATATAGAAATCATAATTGCTTAATCATCTAGTCTGAAATTCTCATGAGTAATTTCCATTATCTAAGGCACCAAAACATCAGTGCTTCTTCATACAGGATCTTGAGATATGTGGTAGTAATCCATGAATCAGAAGGTAACTAAGGGCACTGCTGATCTTGATGTACAGGAGACTAAACCAGTTAAGGATGTTGTCATGTGTGATAAAACACCTGAAGAAGGGATGCACAGTTTGGGCATGTTAAAAAGCAATGAGTCAGAAATTGCAAAATCTCAAAGGTAATTTGGCACAACTCATTGACCGCAAGATTTAAAGCTTTTTATCTGAGATAATTCTGCCTCCCACCATGCATTCATGAGTAAGACATGCAACTGAAGATATTGAACTACCTGCCTTTTCCACAGAGATCAAATTAGCTCACAAAGAGAGCTGAACCTGGGTAATCACCATGCCAACCACATCGCTGATCTGGCCGAATTTTCAAGCGAAGTAACTTTCCTAAAGGAACTGAACACACATTTGGCACTTGAACTAAAAGAGATGCAAGAAAGATATTCAGAAATGAGTCTCAAATTTGCAGAGGTAGAAGGAGAAAGGCAACAACTTGTTATGACATTACGCAACCTAAAGAATGGAAAGAAGACATAGTGTTCTGTCATAGTAAGTCTTCTATGTAACTTATCCCTGAGTAAGAAACAATAATTAGTAGGACGCATCTACCAGTTTCTAGGCCAGGAAGTATGCATACTGAGGCACATTCTTTCAGCATTTTCCTCATCTGTGTCCATTTTCCTTAACAGACAGGAATAAAGCAATCCTAAACTAAATGCCTGAATGAGTTAGCCACAGAGTTTTAAACTTTTCCTTCTAATATTCAACAAAATCAGGACATGCATCAGCATCAACTCCCAGAGACAAATTAGATCTGTACTTGCAGGTAAAAATGTATAGCGTATTTAGAACTGGATATAGTATCAAAGATCAACTTAGATCACACTATAAAGAAAAGGACAAAATTTAGATCCAATTAAAGTTAGAATGAGTCTCGTTCTCTCCAACTCTCACAAACCAGTGGCTCAAAAAACCTAAAAGAAAATAAAATTCTTAAATAGATGATGAGCATGGGGAGCAGAGACAAGGATCAAGCACCCAGTTTAAAGATAAAATTTATCTTCTCAGAAACTTCCAGTTCCTTTAAACTCAATGCCATTAAGCATCTTATAGTGTCCAAGAAAACAAGGGATACTTCATCGGGAGGGTTGTACGAGGCCAAGGACAAAGAGTGCTACTGAATTTTGAAATTAACTGTCATTCCTTTCTTTAACTGACCTTCTCAACTAAGAAACAAAATAAATGCAAAAGAAAAACACCAAGATAAAAGGAACCATACTTCTGCAGATTTGCCTTTGATAAGTGGGCCCTCTACCAAACCCTGAGTTGGTTTTACCTGGGACAGAGTAGAAAGGTGTGCCAAACAAATGGTCCAACAGTTGAATCCAATGTATTCTGCAATTAACCTGATTCTAGTAACTGCTAGCACTGAGTACAGCATCTCTTCATTAGAGCTACACACAGCCTACATGCCCGTCAACATTGTGATTCCTTAATAAGCTAACCTGTTGTCTAAATACCCGCATCCTGTCAGTACTTGCCATTGTCATAGTTGCTGCATAATTTTTCTGCTCAAAGTAGAAGAATTCTTATCACTCCAGGTAAGCTTACTCTGCCCTCCCTTACCAATTGTTGTGAAAGATAGAGTCTGCATCAGTTAACTAGTTAGGAGTATTACTATGCAATTTAGATGAAATCCACATACTTCAAAGTTAACTCACTCGCTTTGCTCTCTTGTCTACTGGAGTCCAAGCGGGAAGGATTGAATGTGAAGCTTTCTCATTCTTGGGTAGAGATGATGGTTTTACCAATTGCTTTTGTCTCCTTTGTTCAATCGATTTTTTCGAACCACCAATATTTTGGTACTTGTAATATTCAAGAATAGATGGGCTTTTCCTCTTACTGGCATTTGATTTGTTCGTGGACGACCCAAGAGGAGGAGGAGATATGCCGGGTGGAAGAGATTGCTGACGTGTTCTACTTTTTTCCTTGATTCTATTTAGGAACTCCACAGTCCAAGGCGACTCCCTTAGTGGTGTTTGACCAGAGTGAATGGCATCCCATAGAGGTGTCCCACCACAATGAGCACTATCTTTTTCTTGCATTCGCTGGTTATAGGAATCTATTGCAGTTTTTTGTTGCATGCTGTCATGCAAGAGCCCCTTCTGGTGCATAGGAGAAAACTTGTGGATGTCAGAACAGTAGTCTGGAGCATTTTTATTTTTTCTCATTGAGTTATATTCATTAGTACTTTGACAAATCCAGACATCCAAGTCAGAGTCAATTTCAGCAGAAGTTGGGAAGTTAGCAAGGCCGCTTGAACCAAATGATAGTTTTCTTGTGGTTCTAGACATACCTGTTGCCCAGTCCTTGTTCACATCATGAGGTGAGAAACTTAAAGAGTTCAACTCTGGAATTTCTTTTCTCAACATTGCAGCGAGATTAGTATCAATAACTTCACCTTTTAAATCCTCCTGCTGATTTCCGGATTTCTCTTTCCCAAGTCTATGAGATCTGTTCCTTGCAGCCATATGCAATATCTCTTCTACACCAAAATTCGTGTTGTGCTGAAGATATTTTGGTTTTTGACTCTCTTCTAATTTAGGAGGACCTTCAGTCATTCCAAATGCATAATTCCTCATCATATTTGCCTCCACTTTCTTCCTTTCACAAAAAAATTTATCATCAAAGGTTAAACCAGGTTTTCCACACTCATCAATTATCTCAGAATTTTCTGACATCCAAATATTGCGTGGGGCAGATGCTCTTGGAGGACTCAATCTAACATCTGGAAATAGTGTAGGGGACTCAAAATGGCATAATTCATTTTCATAGATGTTAAATTTGGGATGATCGTCAGTGCATTTCCTCTTCTTTGTTTCAGAGTTGCTTCCTGGTTGAATCCTACCAGGAACATATGATACTGATGAGGAGCTATCAGTCATTCCAGATTTAGAATCCTCTCGCTCCCCATATTGACACAAAAGACCAAGTAAAGCAACACTTTCATGAGGAATTTTATGCTTCTGAACTGCATGAATCCTACAGTCATGTGACCATTCTAAAAAGTCAATTAGTGAGCTGCCAGAAGTCAATATGGCATGAGCTGAAAGAGGATTTATTGAAGGAAATGCAGTAAGAAAGGATTCTGCTAGACTTTCTGAGTCAGGCATTTTGGGATACAGGCCTCTGGTGAGCTTGATTACAGCTTCAATGCAGGATAGTATAATCTCATCTGTCATAACAGAAGAATAAGAACAAAAGATCTGCAAATCAATTCCCAGGCTAGCTGCAGCAGCATACAGCTTGTCTGATGATTCCATGACGCCAGCCAGGAAATGTCTTTCCCCCTCAAATACCTAATAAAACAAATAGAAAAGAACAATATGTTCAAATGCATTGTTAGACGCTATAACAGAATATTGCGGAAAAAGGCCCAACAATATATGAAACATATATAACAATTCACATCAGCCTTTTGATAATTTCGTAATATATAATAGAGAAGAACAGAACTAAATTGTAAGCTCTTAAATTGTTTTTGTGACTTGTCATTACGAGTGACTTATTCTTGTGAGACAGAATATAAGTACTTGAAATACAATGAGATATCATCTCTCACTAAAGTCTTTTGAGGTATAAGCAAACAAAGTCACCCACTAAACAGACAAAATATGCTCTTAAATAAGAGTATACTGTTTGATCGAAAGATTTGCATTACCTGTAATAATCCTGTATTTTACTTTCCTTTTATGATAGATGTGATGTGTTAAACTTTTACTAATGCTTGAACATTTTTGGCTTCCTCTTAAACTGGATTGAGCGTAGTTCACTACTTCAACCCATCGTTGCTTGAAGTTTGTTTAATTAGTGAAGTGCGCAATGGCATTAAACAAAAAAGATGTGGTTAATAATATGTATATTGCTAGGTTTCATAACATTGCATAATAGCACCTACTGTAAATCTACTTCCCCCAACACTCAAAGGAAAATATTTCACAAACAGAAAAGCTTGATGAGCAGTGTTTATTTTTTTGGTCACAGAAAAGAAAAGTTTCAAAAAAACTGACGAAACAGTTAAGGAAAATTCAAGCAGGTTTTGAACCTAGAATTTGGGATGAAACACAATCTATGCTGCTATTTATCTGTCTCTTGCATGTTGGAAGCTCAGCTCAAAAATCAATTGATAAACATGTGCCAAACTTGTTTAGCTAGCTTCATATCCAAACCAAGTTGTAACTCTTACGGAGTACAGATTTTAGCTCATGAAATCAACACTATAGTACAAATGTAAATAATGATAACATAAACACTTGCCAACATTTTATTCCTATAATCATAAGCTAAAACTTCAGACAAACAAGCTAATGTTCCAAGATGTTTATAGTTGGTTCCTTGTCAAGTTAGTGCAGTATTTATCCTCAACTCCATTCATTAATCAATCAGAAGAAAGCTAAAACAAGCAGAACAGTGTCATCCAGATCACTTAAATGCTAAAGCCCTTCTATTTTGTTGGAAGTGGCGTTGGGGGAAGCCTAGCAAAGTCAAATGCATTTTTCATTATGAAAATCCAAACAAGTAACCAATAAGCCATCAAGCAGCTAAAGGTGTATTTAGAGGTGATGCCAACATCATAAGCCCTCCAACAAAAATCCTGCAGCCTACCTTGGCTCCAGACTTTGTAGACTATCATAAAGACATTTGAATAAGAAAGTATTTTCAACATTCTTGATACCTAGAAGAGTTAACTGGAACCAGCAGAAATAAAAGAAATAGTGCACTGAAAAGCTCATTTATATATGTATATATCTGGCATGTAATAAGCTACCTCTTAGTGCAATATGCAATTCATTGCTGATATACAAGCCCATTCTGATCAGATTGAGATGATTAATATGTTCATGATGCAAAATCCTATTTCATGGTACATATCCTTCATCTGACAAGATATGCAAAATGCCAGATCCTATCAGTGTACAATTAACTTATTCTCCGACATCAAATCATGAATTCCTGCATACTGTCCAACAAACAGGTGTATTCTAACCCTAAATAGCAAATACTTAATGAAATGTATCTACACAAAGCAATAGTTTCCAGTGTTCCTAAAAGCATAGGTAGGATACTTACCAGAATGCAGCTGCTGAAAGCATAACTTAATGATGTTAAAATACTGGCTGCTATATTCTCAACATATAAGGATAGGCAAGAAAATGCCTCATCAGGAGCAGAAGATTTCTTTCTAATGTTCTTTAAGTTGTACCATGCAAGGCAATTTGCAGCATCAAGTACAACATCAACCGGTAGATTTAGGTCACGGTCTACAACTTGTGCTCCCCCTTTCTCCAGTGCAAGAATCTTTTGGTATGTGCTTCTCCTGGAAATTACCATTTCCTTATCAAAATTTTTAGTGTTAACTACAACTATGTCAGGAAAGGAAGGTGCGTTTGTGGGGATCTCTTTTGATTCCATAGCCAATGAGACAGAATGCAAAGGCTTCAGATGGCACTCTTGACCTCCAACTACAGCTTCAACTGGGACTTTGTTGTGGTTCTCCTCAAGAGGTACAAAATTCAGCAGGTCCTCCATCTTATTGTTGCTCTCATTCAACACCAGATTAACATGAAGATGACCTTTCTGGCAATGAGATCAATATGAGAAGATAACTATGTGAATCTACAATGTTTTTATGATATAATAGAATTACAATAATGAATTGCAAGGAGGTAGCATCCCGACAACCATGATTTTAAAGACTTTAACATAATAATTTACCGTCACTAAAATGAAAAGATTATACACGCTCATCAAAAAAAGAAAATATAACTTTAGAGTGAATCAAAGACATGGCAGATCCATGTGATTCCAGATACAATATGCATGCCAACAATTACAAATTCATCAAATGGTTATGTCAAACCCCCAGCATGACAACCTCAAAGAAGAATACACCTCCTTAATTCTTTTTTCCAGCTACCAGCAATCATATAGCAAAATACCACCAATTATGCAATTACTCATTGACTGCCAAAAAGAACACCCAGACCACTGACAATAGTGATTTCACATGTCGGATCAAGTATCTAAATGTAAGCCAAACAAAAAGTAACAAGTTCTTGAAATTTTTCATTGCCAATCAACTTCTAGTGGTAAGTCACAAATCTCTTTTCTACCAAAACAACATATCAAGCACTGCTTATCTAGCAAAGTGAATTAGAAAGAAAATTATAAAAGCATTTTGATATGGATCACTGCATTATATCAAGAAGAGCATGGGCTTTCTTATTAAATGACATCATGCTAGCTTTTCTGAATACCTATATCATATCCTCTTCGGAAGATAACTAAAGAACAACTACATGTGACAGAGAAAGATCAGTCAAAGAGATTAACAACATCTTCCCAAGCATCAAAAAAGAGACTTGCCATTGTACTGCCCCTGCTCTTGGGCATGTCAACACCGCAACAAATTGCTTTAGGAATTCCTGATTCCTCCAGCTTCACCTTGAGGAAATAAAGACAAGGACCACGATCTAATTTCGAGGAGATGCTGCTGACTCTAGATGATTCATGCGAACCACCATATTCCAGGATAACACCAAATTTGTCATATGGAAATGATGCAGAAAAATACCTAGAAGGTCCACAACAACATATTATCTACTGCTTTAAAATTCTTTGCAAGTCTATGACATTTCTTAGTGCCTTGATCCAAACCAAAAGAACTATAAACTTCAAATATAATAGAACAGAAACATGATTGCTTTATATATGATCTCAGATAAAACAGCAGGTCTTCGCCCAGTGCACCCATTAGGTTCCATGAAGTTACATAAGATTAGTTACACCTGAACAACTTACAACACCCCACCTTGATCTGCTACATCTGACATTAGCATTGCATGATGTGCTAGGTCTAATTGCTAGACTACAAATGCTTCAGCCACCAACAAAGCATTAGGGGGAAAAAATTCTAAATGCAGTGAAACTCATGGGCCTATTTCCATTATGGCAATCTTTTAACCCTTCTACTTCAAGTTTAGAAATATCCTGGCAATATTTACAAACAAAATATTTTGCATTACAAAGAGGGATAAAGAACTCTCATGATATTGATGAAACCAGTTCTTATTAATACTATAAATGGTTTTATCATTGAACTGCAAAGACAAGCAACTTACAGTATTATTTTGGATCAAATGGATCTTCCTCCCCTGTCCTATTAATATAAACTTCAGGAACAGATCTAGCATGAGATGTCAAAATACCGTTAAACACGAGATGATGGATCTTCTAACACCTAGCAGACTGTTACACAGCATTGCTATGATGAATAATCTATTCTTTAACCACCTATGGACAATGGTATACAATAACCACCAAGCTAATGATGCATAAATATCAAAAATGGGTGACATTTTTGTTATCGCCTGAAAATGCCCTGTATCTATGGTTATTTATGGAACTCATTACTCAGTTAAGCACAAGCTTATCTTAATATTAGCCTAGTCATGTGCAGTTTGAGCCATTAAGACTGAACTTAAAAAGATAGTAATACAGATGCCAAATACTTCAGCACCAAGGAACATCAACTTGTTATCATAGTAAGTTTATGGAAACATCTATGGTACCAAATCTTGTTCATGCAACAACATTACTTACTCGTGAGATACTAAACAGCAATCTGCTTGAGAGATCATACTCGTAGGATCAGCAAAGTCATTTATTTTATCCTGTTTGCAAGTATTTGTCCAAAAATTTTGTGATTCATTGTATGATATCTTCATTGAAGTCAATAATCTCTTTAATGGCCACCAATAAACTGGCTCTGCAACAATTAATACTTTGAGACCATTCTCACTCAAACTTGACTCAAGTACTTGTTGAACAACAGAAAGTGATGGGTGGAATTTGGTTATTTCTTTTTCCGCCTGTTCGCACATATTCTGAATCAAGTTCTGGAGGAAGCTGAATCTTGATTTTAAGCCCTGAAGGTTAGTAGACAAATTGTGGATGTATAGCTGAGCAGCATGCAAACCATAGTAGCACAAGTACCAAGCCATCTGTTTAATTGCACTGAGAGCCACCAATGACATGATATTTTCATTAGCAAGAGAAGGAGTTCCTGGCGCACTGATCTTCTTAATGCGGTCCATTATTTCTTCTTTCCGCACCCGAAGGAAAGAAATGTCATCCAGATCTTGATAGGGGTAGAGATCCTTTATCAATTCAGCATCACTCAGTAAGATTCCCAGAAAACTTTTCTGGAAATTATCAATAAGTGACAAAATTTCATTTGACAATTCTACTTGGAGCATCTTGATATTCCATTTCTGCAACGGCGCCTGATTAACATCACGTGCAGGAAGAGAATCACCAGAATGAACCACAGGTAGCACTGTGTCTTTAAAAATGGAGCTTTCATGAGGTTTACACTTTTTCCTTCCTCCACCACACTCATGATGAGAGTTCAAAAGGAAATCCATTTCATTAAATTCTGTTGTAGTTTCAACATTAACATTGACCTGTGCAGCCCCGTTCTTAGATTGTATCTCTCCAGTTATTCCCTTTCTTTCATCTTCATTCAGCTGTGTTTGAGAAGCCACTTCTTCATGAGAGATTGGAGGTAAAGAAATGCCATGTAAATTTATTTGCAATATTTCCTTGTTTTCTCCCAAATTTGGTTCATCAATAATGCCACCTGAGAGGACACAGTCCAACTGTAGCATCCTGTTATCGATGCTGTCCAATGTAAAATCAATGCTGTATGTGTCTATCTCTTCAAATGCCTTCCAACAGGAAGAATATCTACTAGAATTCCAGTAATCTTCCTCGAAAAAATGCCAGTCTAAATACAGACAGTCAAATGTAGAGGCTGATTCTGGCTCCAAGGCAGAAAATACTTTCTCAACCACTGACACCACTGAAACCGGCTTTTGGCAGTCCAAAAGAATGGGCACAGGCAATGATCTAAAAGCATCATCAACAAGAATGAGATCATTACAAGCAATTAAGTCATCAAAATTCTTAAACTTCATTGCTTCACTAAACATTAGGTCACATTCCTCTGCTGTGCGCTTTATTGCTAAACAATAGAAGACTTCAATGAAGTTATACAGATCTAAGTCAGTGAACTGAAATTCCTCAAATAGAACTAAGTTCCTTGAAAAATTGGATATATCCTGAGAGGTTTTGTGATGTGATAACAACATATGCCCAACATCTGGATCTTCTTTGTCAATAACGAAATCAATTTCTTCAAGGAAATTTGAGCACCCCACCCCTATTTCAGGGTGGTGCATTACTGAACAATGATTTGACAGATACGCAAGTAAGTCAAATTCTTTAAAATCCAAATGCACCTTGTCGTTACTTGCTATCTCATCTTCTTGTATCCATTTTTGAGACTCAATATTTTTGAAAATTATAAGTTCATTCTTCATGGCTATGTCATTGAAAATACCCAGGCTTGCCTCATCAATTTCGAAAACAGGAAATTTTTGTACACAAGAACCAAGTTGTCCCCTAGTAGAACCAGAATCTTCCAAGAGATCAGCTTTTTGTTCTATAAAGTACTCTCTTGAGATATCATCAACTGAATAGACTGCTTGGTGAATTTCAAAAAAATCCTGCATCCTGAGTTCAAGATTGGGCATATCCTGAAAGAATGATGCAAATGCCAAGGCATAATAAGTATAATTTGACCAGACATTCAACTGTCAGACCTCCAACTTTGTCCACATTACATGAGACAATTCTTAAATATATAGTGACAAGAAGGAAAAATAACTGCAAAACCTGGAGTAGACCTTCCTATTTGTTATTCGACGTTTGTCAATTATACCCTTATAATTAATTTCGGGCGCACTTAATGAATAACAGCTTTTCTATTAAAAGTTAGTAGAGAGCAAGGTCCTACTCTGCTTCTCCACCTTCAAATTCTCTAGATAAAGCTATAACGCACCCATTCTAAATAACACAGCCACACATGCAAAGTGACCATTCCTACGACAAAAAACAGACTATAGTTTCCTGAAGATTCTATTGCCTAACCTGCACTAATGTTTAATTTGCCTTTGCGCCACCCAAAAGTGAAATTACATAGCTCAAACAGATGCAGAAAAAAATTATATACCTATACACTGCTATCTGGTAATGTTTAATTTGCCTTTGTGCCACCCAAAAGTGAAATTACATAGCTCAAAACAGAAGCAGAAAAAAAATTATATATCTATACTCAGGTATCTGGTAAGGAAAGAAGTTTAAATCCGTACCACATTACTCACAAGCTGGGGAATATCAGAAAAAATTTTCACGTTCTCCTTCTGAGGCTGAAGATCATATTTCTGATGGAAATAACCCATAAAAAGAAAATAGAACATTTCAATCACTTTATATACATATTACAGAAAGTAAGCAGCGTGCCAAATGGAGAAATTAACCATTTGAAAGAACAATTTGACCTCTGGAATTTCAAACTGGAAGATATTGAGATTATTGGTTCCCTTAATGTCAGAAGCGATGTCATCTTTCTCCTGAAATAACATGAACCATTCTATAGATAATGTCTTGAACAGAATTAAGTAATGAGGAAAGCATCTAGTAATTTTAAGTACATCAACCTTTAATAATTTATCTCCAGGATTATCCATCCCCTCCTTTCCATTATACAACACATTGTTGCATTCTTGCAAATCAAAAGATATGTATAGGATTAAGTTCATCAAACAAAAGGCAGTAGAAAGTTGAAATAAGCTTTTATGAGTTTTAGCACATTGAAATGCTTCGCCGTAGAAGATCAAAAGTGGAAAGCATAACTCGTAGTCACAAAATCTACTCCCCCGCAAAGATAATCAATTTTAACAGCGAAATACACAGCATTTTAAAACATTAGTTAATATGAAGACTAATAAATCCACTTGAATACTTCCAGTAATTCTATAACAATTCATCATGAAGAGATCCACAGAAGCAGTTAAAAAAATGAAAAAAAAATATTTCATGTGCCAAATGAGCCTTTTCTGAAAAATCTTTTAATCAGACAAATCATTAGAAGGCATAAGACCATGTCATCATGCTCCAGAATTCGTAAGAGAGAGAGAGAGAGAGAGAGAGAGAGAGATCGCAAATTTTATTTTAAAAAAAAAGCTTAAAAAATGTTATTGCTGCAAATCGCAGCATCACCACGGGAAAATCCTGTTGTAATATAGTAAGATTCCCTTACACTGCATAGACATTTGCTCATCACGCTTCAGAGCTTCACATCATTATCAAAATACCACAAAAATACAGTATCACATACTTCAACAAGAAGAGAAACAGCTGATCGTGCTTGGTGAATAATAGAATTCACCTGCGAAGCATCAACCTCGAGCATAAAATCAGCACAAAAACTCTGCAGTTCACGAGAGCAAGCTGTTCCAGTGAAGGATAGATCATCTGTGGAATCTCCGATTTCTGCAGCATTGATCAATTGCGGAAGGACATTGGATAAGAACTTGTTGAGAGAGGTTCCTATCGGCAATTTCTCGATTTCAAGAGATACGCTGAGGGGGGAAATGTCGTCGAAGCACCGCTGAAGGTGTTGGTGAATTGAGGTGTAGGACGGAGGAAGGTGTGGGGGAGAACAATGGAGAAATTCTAGGGTTTCGGTGGCGGAGTTGAAGCAATCGGCGGGGAGGAATCGAGTGCGCATGTCACGTTGTTTACAAACTACGAGTGAAAAAAAGAAGTAAAAAGGGAGTGAGAGTGAGAGAGAAGTAGATGATGCAGGCCTGCAGGGTCCTGAGCCTAACGGGTGGGGTTCTTTGATTTGAAAATGCTTTTGGCGGTTAGATGAGCGGGTGTTTTATACTGGTGAAGCGTGGGCTTTCATCATAATTGGGCACTCTAGCAGGAGGTTTTGAAGCCGGAGTTCCGCCCAAAGGCCAAAACGAGCTCTGGTACACTTTTAAGACTGCAGCAAAAGATGGTGGGGTTGCAACCGTCCAAGCTTTTGACTTCCAGGGTGCGGAATGCAAATGAGGTGACTTAATTCTAATACGAGCATGATTCCTTTTTTTTTTTTTGGATAAAAATAATAATTTCGTTAAATATCTTTTTACAAAGTTGTACAATTTAATTTATAATGAATTACAACATATTTAAAAGAATGTATATTTCTCATCAAAAAAACAAAAACGAAAAGACTGTTTAGCATTCCTCCCCCGTCCCAAAAATTTCACACCTCCTAGCCTGTTGACACTTGACATTTGATGTTTGGACAGAAGTGTTGATTTCACATCTCCTTCTCTTTTCATTGAATTTTGCTTGCTATACCTGATGTTGCATTCCCTCAAAATGTCAGACCTTGTGGATTATTTTGAAGAATCAGCAGAGTTCAGCACTTTCTACTCACAATTGTGTAAAATCATAATCGTCCTCAAGTTGAGAACTCAAACATATTTTTTGGGAAGTTGTTTTAGAGCATTACGGCACTTGAATGTTACACGGCAATACGGTAAAAGCAAGGCACAGCGGGGCTTCAATTATGTGGAAATATATGAAGGATAAGCAACAGCCGGGGGCATATAAAGTCCAACCTACCATTGACCGAAACAATTCATCGCTGAAGATGCGAAACAACGTAGGGTCTGTATGAATTAAATATTTTTGGGATATTTTTTGAAAAAATTTATTGTTGTATTATACATGAAAAACTTTTAGGGTAAAAAGCAAAAAAAACCCTCTTTTGATAAACTTAATATACAGAAAGTCTTTCGTGATTTTAAAATGTACAACATGACAACTCATGTTTTGAACTAAATTATAAAGGTGACGGAATCCATTAAAATTAACGAAAACGGATGAAATGACAAAAATGTCCTAATATAACTAAGTAAAAGGCAACTCAACAAAATCATTTGTTTCGTTCTCTAAAGAGAGAGAATTGGGAGTTAGAATGTAGAATAGATATATTTGTTTAAAATTACGTATAAAAAATTTGTTTTTAGATTTTAATAAGTCATTTTCGTTAATTTTAATGATTGCGTCATCTTTACAATTTAGTTCAAAATATGATATATCATTTTGTATGTTTTAAAATCACGTGAGACTTTTCTATATATTAGATTTACTACAAGAGATTTTTTTATTTTTTACCCAAACTTTTATTGTAGTTGTTTATTGAGGTGTTTCCAATATTTAAATTTTTTATTGAGATTTATTTAAAAATTAAAAAAATTCACACCTCACCATCACTTATCAACCCCCTACTCCACTATCACTACCGCCAGTCACCCTTCATTCCTTTTCCTCTCCTCTGTTAACCACCCCTTCTTTCTCCCCTCTAATTGTGACCAGAAGGTCGCAGCCAAAAGCTACGACTAGATGGTGGCTTGTGGCCACAACCAAAAGATTTGGGACCAAATCTGGTCACGACCATGTGATTGCAAACCAAAGTGCAAAGGGAGAGAAGGAAGATAGCGGAAGAGGAGGAAGAAGGGAATAGGAGAAACAGGAAAAGGAAAGACGAGAAAAGAGAGGGTAGAGAGAGGAGGAGAAGATGTGGTGGTGATGATGGAAGAAGATGGGGGTGGTAGCATGGATGGTGATGCGTGATTGGCCGTGCTAGTGGGTGATAGAAAAAAAATATAGTAGAATACATTTTTTAATTTTTTATATTCTTTGTAAGTTATATTTGGGATAGATATTGTGTTTTTTAAGTTATTTTTTACATTTGTTAATGTAGATGTCAAAAACAAAAACAGTTTTTCACAAAATTTTCAACCCATATGTACTCGTACAAATTGGTGATTGTGTACATTTTCTTCTGGATTCCTTAATGGTGTACAGTGACGAGTAATTTTTGTAATTTTATCTTTTCTTCTTGAGCATGGCATTTTATCTTACGAATCGTGACACGAGCAATTGCATAAAAAAAATTAGTTGTTTTTAAAGATATTTTTAAAATATTTTATTGTGTATATAAAAAATTTTGATTATCATTTTTTTTGAAATATTTAATATATTATATAAATAAAATATTTTTATTTACGTATTACTATAACATCGTATTTGAAAAATCTGTTTACGGGCATGTTTGGAACTTAGTTTTTTGAGAGTTTGTCTAAAACTTTATTATAATGCACTGTAGAAGTTTTTGAAAAAATTTGTAGAAGTTTTTCGTAAGGAGAAAAATTTTGTAGAAGTTTTTATAGGGTTAAAAACTTTTTTTTCTTTTCTTTCTTTTTCTTTCTTTCCTTTCTTTCTTCTTCTTCTTCTTCTTCTTCTTCTTCTTCTTCTTCTTCCCCCTTCCCCGTTACCTCTGCCTCCAGCAGTGCCACCTCCCCCCACTCCCTGCTTTGTTTCTCCCCCTCTGCCCCGCCACCCCCTTCTAGTTCCTCCGCCACCCCCTCTGCCCGCCTTCCCCCTCTCTCCCGCTTCCCCCTACTTTCCGCCATCCCCTCTTCCCCCGCCACCCCCTCACCCCGCTTCCCTCTGCCCTTCCTCCGCCACCCCTCCCCCGCAACTTCCAAACAGGCCCCCCTCCCCCGTCACCCCCTTGGCCCCTTCCCCTCCCCTATTCCCCTTCCCGTTTACCACCCCCGAATCCCACCACTCGTCAATTTTTTTTTTTGGGCAAATCCCCCCTTTCCCTTTGTCCTCCCCTTTCCCCGCCACCCTCACCCTCCCTCAGTGCGATCTGGTCTCGCGATCAGATCGGCCAGAGTGGAAGGGGAAGGGTGGTGGAGGAGGAGGGGGGGAGACGCAGAGAGAAAAAAAAAAACTTGCGGGGGAAGAGGGAAAAAGGAAAAAAAAAACGGCATCGGAAAAAGTAATCGACGCCGGAACCGGCGGCGGAGGTGGTGGCCGGTGACGGAGCAGTTGACGGAGGCAGTGGTGGGGGAGGAAGAAGAAGAAAAGGGGAAGAGAGTTTTTTTTTTTGTGTTTTGGATATTTTAAGTGTATAGATTAAAAAACTTTGATAAATTTTTGGAGTTCCTGTAGCACAAGTTATTAAAAAATTAATATAATAAAAACTTGGTAAAAACTTGGACTTCCAAACAAGCCCGTAGGTATGATTAACAAACAAACAAACGTACGTAAAGCAATCATGGGAAGTTGAAACCAAAACTTTCTACCAGGAGTACCACAGTCTACACTATGCAGGTGGAAATAGGCAGTGGCCATACGCCGCCTGCCTAATTGAACGGCTAGACGCTATACAGAGGCGTGTATCTTCTTCCGACAGGTATGATCAACTTTTCCAGAAAGCCAGGCCCACCTCTTCTGATATTAATCTGTTTATGTTATTGACTGAAAATTTGAAGGCAGGCTTACTCCATTAGCGTGCTAATCATTCTCATCAGCCTAGAGAATAATCGCACAGACAGGAATTAGAACAACCGGGCTCGATTTATTTACTTTCTTCTTTTTTCTCCTCTTTCTTCGGTTCTTTCTTTTCCTCTTTGGGAGGCTCTTCCTTCTTTTCTTCTTTCTTCTCCTCCTTCTTCTCCTCTTTCTTTTCCTCCTTTTTCTCTTCCTTGGCAGGCCCAACTGATATTATGTCTACCTTTCCCAGCTTCTTCAATTTCTTCACTACTGCAACTGCATCCATCTGTCCTATCACGATTAGCTTTTGGTCTTTAAGATCGGCGGCGATAGAATCAACTCCTGGTGTGTTATCAACAAATACTTGTTTTACTATTAGATTTAAGTACCGTACAAAAATTTCTTATGCCTTTGTAAACTGAAATTGAGGGGGAGCAAAAAAGCAAAAAACCATACCATGTGCTCATGAAGTTCAATCTTAAACAATAAAAGAAAAGGAGAAAAAAGAGCTTGATTCTAATGCTCATACCATGGATATCCGCTGCAGCTTCAATGGCCTTCTGCTTTGTCTTATCATCATGCATGGTCAGGACCTTCACGACCACCTTCTGTTGATTAGGATCCAAGTAAAGAAGATAGATTAGAGCTCAAAGTAAAATTTGATTCGTGCAAACCATCCATCCCTTATCTTCTTAACTGGTTTTCCTGTCCGTACTCTGTGTGTGTGTGTGTGTGAGAGAGAGAGAGAGACAGCGAGATCCCTGAAATTGAAGCATTAAAGACTACCTGAGCCATTGGCACTGTGGAGGGATGGAGATTGGACTCTGAAGAGGCAAGAGGAAGTTACGGAATTTTGGAAAATGAGCGAAACAAAAAGAAAGAGGAGATGGTGAGTTTTGAAGGGAGCGACTTAGCGAGCCCGTTGTTGTCCTGTTATGGGCTCGCTCCTAAAAGTGTCCATTCTGGAAGAATTGCACGGATAGTCCTGACGGATTTAACTTAATTAGTTATCTCAAAAAGTAATACTAATTTAATGTCAGAATCCCTTCAAACATATTTGGATAATAAATTATTCGAGAAAATTTTATAAAAAAATATTATAATATTTTTTAATATAATATATATAAAATAAAAAATAATTAAAAAATATGTTCATGATGCAAACAAGTCAGTGTCTCTGTAAATAAGGTGAAAATGTTTGAAAATTTTGAAAAGCCTCTGGCGGCTTTGGGATATTTTGAAAAATTTTTTACTCCTTTTTTGTTCCTTGACGGCTATGTCACTCACTACAAATTTTTTTTTTTTTTGGGTTAAACGACTTTTTTTTTCACAAAATAGATGCACCGGAAGGGTCAAGAGCATACAATCGTTCTTTGAAAAGAAAGGCATATCTACGTGATCGCATACTTATTTCAACTTTTTTTTTTCCT